TTTCCTGTAATCTTTTTGCAAGCACTCTACCTGAGGGGTTTTTTAGCTATCCATTGATTTTTCACCTATTTTCTTACTTTTAATACTCTGTTATCGAAGGTATTTGAGTATATTAGTTTTCACCACGTTTTCATCTGTTCGTCTGCATGAATACAACCCTCAAAGCTAAATATTAATATGATTTTCGTGTCTGCCTCAAAGTGTTCAAATTGGCTTGCTACGCTTACATCGATAATCGATAAGCGCAAATCGATAAATACACATAATTTACACTATTTTAAAACTAAAGTTGCCCAATTTTGTAGGTATCTCGCCGTCCCCAGTTCCCCCCTACATTAGAGTTATTGTTACCAAAATTTGAAAGGCAGATTGTTAGCAACTCCATACAGAGATTGGTAAGATAATTTCTTGACAGCCGGCAAAGAATATATCTCCCGCAATTTTATAAAAGGCACATTTTTCATTATTCAATGGGCGAGTCACACACACACTGCCGCCCCACGCCCACGCCCATTCCCACGCTCTCGGCCACAGGACGATTACTTGCCAGCTGTTATCAGCTGGTATTACACTGGGATCACATTATTCCGCAGTCGGTTACGCCCGATTGCAACATTCTCACTTGCATTTTTTGTTGTTTTTTTTTGCAGCTGCGATTTGGACAATTTACAACTATTTGCGTGAAGTGGGTGGGTGGCTCAGGCGCAGCTATGTGGAGTACAGTGGATCGCATTTGTCTGGCACAGTGGAACTTTGCAGAATTTCACGAGAAAATTGCAATCTTGAAATGTATAAAAATAAAAATAAATATTTGCCAATGCAATTATAGCACTTAGTTGCCAGCATCTTTTTTTTTAAGAACCACGAAGGTGGTTATTGCAAAAGTATTAAAGATGGCGGTGCAATTTTAAATTTAATTTTTAAAGTTGGATATATATTTTTGTATTTTTTTATTTTTATTTTTTTTATTTTTATTCAAAATGGAGGATAAAAAACATACTATATATGAATAAATAATGACTCACTGAAAAACATTTGATCTGATAAATAAATTCCACAAAAGAGTTCACATAAAATACAAAAATATTAAAAATAGTACAAATTACTAATTTAAAAAGTAAACGTTTTTATGCAGCAAAATTTACTTATGGCTGCTTGTAAAAAGTTGAAGAATGTCAAAATGAAATTGGTAAACTCTTTAAATTTGTGCCAATTTCAGAATTGATATGACGCTACTTCACTTAAATACCACTGTGCTCCTCCATTCTGCGTGTGTGTGTGTGTGTGCTGCACCCAGCTGCACGCTGGGACTACCTGTAACGCTTTCCGCTCTCAATGCACATCCGTTGACTGGGCGAAATTCAGTCGTGGTTACACTTTGGTCACACAATGCGGCAGTTTTGGCTGCAGTATCTGATGTAGTTTGTTGTGTGTGTGTGTGAGGGTCAGAGGGCACGGGGGTGTGGTGTAAGAAATTGTTGTTTTACCGGATGAAAGGGAATAGCGCTAGGTCAGCGCAGCAACACGGTCAGTGCTGGTCACTCACATTGGTCTGCGGTTGCACCACCCGTTTGGCGTATCTGCTAATGGATGCAGGAGCTGCCGCTGCTGGAGCAAAACAAACAAATGCAACAGCAACAAGAGCAACCAACAACCAACAAGCAACAACAATGCCAACAACATTCAGACAAATTAATGACGCGTACTGCGAGTCAGCTGCACTTAAAGATGCTCTGACTTTGTCCAAGTTTAAAGCGGTGCAGCGTATGGACTTGGGTGGAGTGGGATTGGTTGGGGTTGGTTGGGGCTGGGGTTGGGGGTTTTTGAAAGATTGAAGATTGCGGAATGATGCTATTAAGTGGCAGACAGCTGTTAATGCGTAATTACGTCCGAGGGGTGGCAAAGGGAGAGGGTGTCTGGGTAGAGACTGCTGCGCTGTTGTCTGCCATTCAATGGCAAAAACTAGCAGAATGCACATTCAATTCAATTGTTGTCGCTGCCGTTTGACTGCCACAATTGTTGCAACCACAGAGGCGAGCATGCCTGCAACTGGGAACCGTAATGTGCAACTGCACAAACGCCAAATACACACTATCAACTGGGCGCATATATAATGCCAAATGTTAATCCCGACTGCAATAACGTGAGCATTTGAGTGTTATAATTGCACATTGCTGGATTCTTTTTAAACAAGTTTGTTTAGACAAATATTAAATAAATGTTTATATCTGGGCTGTTAAAGCTTGGCTTCTACCTTACCAAACCTTACTTTTACTTTGCAAAGTTTGCAATAAGGATCTGCAAACATAATATTTCAAAACCAATTGTCTATTCTATTCGCTGGCTCCAGGTCAATTGTTTTTTATATATATATATTTATCGAATCCAAAAAGAAAAAATCCTTGGTCAGATTAAAAACTTACAAGATTAATTCAAGAGTCTCCATAACCCGTAATCCATGTTAATCTGCAAACAAATTATAATTATTATTATCTGTACTTTTATGTTAATTTTCAAATAATCCAGAAATAGTCCCCAGCAGAAATGGAAGGCATGCCCAAATGCAAAACGTCAAGTCAGCAACTGCTGTGCAACGATGACAATTTGCGTTTGGCGGGACTTCCTGTCAAATTGCTCATTGCAAAAGTTGTCATCATCGTCGTCTCCGTTGTCGCCTTTTTCACTTCCGCTTGACTCGAAGTTGGCATGGCAATTGCAATTGCAGCTTGATTTCCATTTAACATCCTCAAACTGAGAGCATTGGGGAAATGTTTTTCCTTCTCTGGCTTATGTGGCAGGGGCATCGTCAACTTGTTGCCACTTGCCCCAATTGCAAGTTCTGGTTTGTTGTCTTCGCTGAAATGTTCCCCAAGACAGCGGAACACTGCAAATTAGGAAGTTCAATTAATGAAAGGAAATTACTGTGTGGAGAATACAAATCACAGGATAGGGTTTTAGCCAAGTCTAAAGTCAGACAGGCGATAAGCTATTCAGTTTATGACTGACTTTTATCCAACTGCTCCGAAAATCCTGTTTACTGAAATGAAATTACTGTGTGGAGAATACAAATGCATAATTCTAGGTATTTAGATACTTTTAAAGTCATATATTTATTCGATCGATCGTTCCAGTGACACCTGCATGTATGATTTAGTTGTCCGATTTCAGAGATTTTTTATGTTTGCAGTATGAAAGCATAATAATACATATGTATTATTGCTGAGTTTGGTACCGATATCTTGTTAAATAAAAAAGTTTTTCACACAGGGACTCAGCTTTCTATTGATCGGTTCCATGGCAGCTACAGTGTCTCACAGTTTATTTCAGACAGTGTCTAGCAAAAACTTTAATTGCCTGCCATAAACTAATTATACATTAATTTTCAAAAATTCCAAAGACCGATGGCAGGTACACATATTAACCACCAAAGTGAACATATGACCCCAATAAACTGGGATTTCCCCACAAGCTAGGTCGGGTTATGTAAAAAAGTACCTTTATTTATGGGCACAGATTATTACCAACAGTGGCATTATGGACACCTGGGTGCCATAAAACCCGGATTTTTTTTACCTCAGCTTGAATATTTTTGGTATAAATAGACCAATCCTTCGCAGTCAGTTCAGTTATATCCTGCATCTCGGGTGCAACCAGCCAACAAGGACTATGGGCAAACGGACTACCATTGAACAACGAAAACTCATCCTGGAGCACTTCAAAAAAGGATATTCACATCGCCAAATAGCCGACATGGTCAATTTAAGCAGGTCAACTGTATTCAGCATCCTTCGTCGCTTCGTCGACGAAAATCGGATAGAGGACAAGGGCAGAAAGGCACCAAACAAGATTTTCACCGAAAAGGAAGAGCGGAGGATCATCAGGATAAAAAGGAAAAATCCTACACTATCGGCTCCAAAACTGACTCAACAGGTGCAGGATGAAATGGGGAAAAAGTGCAATGCGCAAACTGTGCGCCGGGTTCTGCGCAACCATGACTTCAATGCCCGAGTACCACGGAAGAAGCCCTTTATAAGCGAAAAAAATAAAGGGACTAGGATGACGCTCGCCAAAACCCACTTGGACAAGGACCCGCTTTCTGGAACACAGTCAAATTTGCAGATGAGTCCAAATTCAAAATGTTTGCCTCGGACGGACAGAACTATGGGTGGCGACAGTCAAATACGGAGCCGAATCCTTAAAGGCAACAGTCAATGACGGCGGAGGAAGTGTCATGTGATCACACATGATATCATACTAAGTATTAACATCTTTCTTTAAGTTTTTATACGGCAAATATGTTACTTTTTTAAGAATTTTCGAAATAAGCTTTGACATGTAATTTGGATTTGTTTTCAGTTTTGACTAATTTTAATTAATTAATTAATATTTTAATAAAAACTAAAGTTTCCGTTTCAAACGAGATATAAGATAAAACATTTTGCGTTTGTTTCCTTGTTTAAACTTTATAACACTTTAAAATTTTTGCTAGACACTGTCTGAAATAAGCTGTGAGACACTGTATATAACAAAGGGATTTGATCCGGCTGGTTCTTACATATGTAATGCCTTAAAAAGACAGATTATCATTGCCTAGCTTACATACAACGAGTATGGCTATATCGACTCGCCCTGTGATGCTGATCAAGTATATATATTGATACTTGAGGTCGGAGACGTCTCCTTCAATACGTTGCAAGCCTCACGACAATCAATTAATACGCTCTTCGCGGCTAGAACGCTTTGTGTGTGATTCTTACCTAACCTATTGCCATTTAAACGTGTTAATCAAGTACGGCAATCACTTTCTTTACTTTCTTTAATAACATTCAATTGCATCCTTCAAAATTTAAGAGTTATAAAAATAAATGTATGTTTAATATAATTAATTTAAAGGCGAGTGAGGTATAAAAAAAGGTTTATAGGGATAGTTACAATGTCGGCTATTCCGATTAGCTTAAATACAATGTAATTGAATCTATTATTTTGATTCGCCTCACTAGTTAAGCACCCGACCAGGCATCGAAATCGGAGCTGGGAGGTGAACTGCTCACATCGGCTTGGATTGTGTAGCTTGTTCGGTTGATGCTGTAGTGGATGTTCAGGTATTGTCCGGTTTGGAAGGGCAGCGAATAGTAGCCCTGCTGTTTAACGTCAGCCTTATCTGTCCGCTGGTAGAGAACGTGTCCGCCACTGATAACCAGTCGCAGCTCCCGCGAGCCATCCTCGTTGTGTCTAGCATTCTGTTTGAGGATCTGCACCAGTTGCAACTCCTTTTCGCGCACTGGCAACGAAAGCAACGGTTCGCAGCGACAGCTGAGCTTCTGGGTGAGTGGGCAGGACTGTGGTGCCGAGCCACCAATACTGCCTGGCCTGGAGCCACCCAAATTTGGCAGAGTGCCCAGCTGACCCAAATTACCCAGATTAGCCAGATTACCCAGCTGGCCCAAGTTGCCCATGTTGGGCAGATTGAGGCCGCCTAGCATATTGGACAGGCTCTGCAGCGGTAAATTAGTTATCAATGTGCCCACAATGGGCAGATTCTGTGACCAAGCTGGCAGAAATCCAGGTGCCTGCAAACTAGCCGTGTTGCCCACCACCGCAATCGGTTGAAGTGGTTGCCCCGGCTTAATGGGTTGATTTGGTTGCGCTGCCGAATTCGTATTATCAAAGTAAATGGGTATACCTATTCCAGCATTGGCCTGTTTTAAAGACGATTTCATGGAATTTAATTAAGAACGTGAATTGCAAGGCATCTCATCTCGTCTCATCTCATCTCATCGCATCTCATCGCATCTCATCTCATTCACTTACTGTCATCAGCTGACGTTTGGGCCGTTGATCCGGGCTGGCTGTAGTTGTTATCACCTCTTTGGATACGTCAGCGACAACTGCGCTGATTACCAAGATAAAACCCATACAGCTTCTCATGCTTGCTGCTCTTTCAGTTCTGGCTGCCTGACCAGAGAGTCGCATCTTTTATATGCCGCTGCTCCAGTTCTTTATGGCCTTGCAGTTGCATTTTAAGGTCTTAACCCAAAACCAGTCTTTATGCAGTCATTCTGACTCTGCCTTGCTGTGCATTCAAAGTGTGTCACATCGAACAGGAATTGATATTCATTTGTTAATTACGCGTTACTCAATTAATAGTTAATCACATGGATCGAGTTCAAAAATAAAAGCCATTCCAGACTCTTGCCAAACAATTTAGGGAATTAGTTATGTAAGTTAAATGTCATCAAATGCTGAAGGAAAATGCCTTTAAAATGGCAGCAAACATGCGTAGTTCTTGGCACATGTGTTTCCCAATTAAAACGAATCGCTTGCAAATATACATTTGGCTGCTTCTAATACTTGTTTGTAAATTCGTTCTGTAATACGACTAATTGAATTTCACGGCACGAAAATTTCAAGCCGTTTTCAACACTCAACAAAATAAAATAGTACTGAAATTTCTAAATATTAAAATGGCCCAAAGAACATTTTCTGGTTTTTAGATAATCGAAAAAATATTCTTAAAATTATAAAGGCTATTTTCTGCAAGTATTTTTCCATTGTTAAGAAATACACTTGTAAAAATTAGAAATGAAAACATTTATTTTACGAAAAGATACTTCATAAAATTCAGAAAGAAGTAAGAAAATATGCTTTCTGCTATTTCCTGACTGCCATTTTGGGTTTAGTTTATTCGAATTAAATTCGATGAATCTTAAGATCTGTCATAAGAATCCATGCCACAAAAAGTGTAAACATGTACAAATCACTCATGAATTTAGATATATTCCTTCTGAACTTTAGAAAAATCTACTCTATATGGAAAATCCCGGGTTTTGCACAGACTCAAATCTGACTCAATAAACTCTCTGTATTTGATTATTTTTTAAGTTACTTTCTTTTTCTGAGTGTACAGTGTGAAGTGGGCTAAAATTTAATTTCAATTATATTCAAATATGTAAATGGAATTAAGTACTCAGTGGTTTTCTTGTTGCTTCCTTTGAGGCTGTCCGGGCAGCTGTGACAAATCTCCCTCAGTCACATGATTAAAGTCTCGCTCCTAGAATCTGCTATGGTCCACAGCTTCAAATTAGATTACGCAAAATCATATGATTGCCCAGGACCCGACACTTCGTTACCAAAACCACGTCCACTTTGACGTCAACGTGGCAACGCTATGCTACACCTCCGTCACGCCCCCTCCCCTCCCTCCGCAGAACAAAAAAATCGTATTTGGTAGACAGGACCGGAAATGGTGACGTTAACATGACGATTTTTTGTGGGTAAGAATTTCAATTTGTTGTGTTTTAAAGTTTGTTTCTTCGGACGATTAGCAGCCACACTGGGCACTGTGGGGGCTTTGGTTTTTGGTGTCGGAATTGGCATTTGACAGGGGTTGAGGTTGGGGTTGGGCTTGAGTTTTGGGATAGGTGAACCAAACGGAACCTGACACGCAATTCCTACGGGGTGCAAGTTTATGGGTGCTGTTGCTGTTGCTGTTCTTGTTGTTGTTGTTATTGTTGTTATTATTGTTTTTTGCTCATTTGACAGCTGGACGATTGTTGTTCGTGTTTCTGCTGCTGCCACTGGGCTCATAAATCAAATAAGTTGTGACAAATTGCAACCTTACATTGTTTTTTACTTCTTGAAAATTACATTTGGATGCACAAATGTCATGTGTAGCCAATGCTGGCTCCCCCACAAATGCCAGAGAAATGTTGACTAATGCCTGTGGCTTTCTTCTGTTCATTTGTCGAGCCAACAAAAGATACGCAAATATTTGATCCCACAACAGAATATCAACAAATGAATGCATACATTTTTAGTTACCCAAACACACACACACACACACATATATATATATACGAGTATATGTATATATATTTAATTTTTTATTTTTTTTATATATAGTATGTGAGTGTGTATCTGTTTACCGAAATCGGCACAAAAGTAAGATTTAAAAATACCATTGAACATAAAATATATTTAATGGCTCATGAGAACAACGACATCAAACTGCAATAACAACAACAACAAAAACAACGACGACCAAAACTACATCGAAATGCAAAAAGAGATGTAATAACAGTAACAAAAGCTTAGCGACGCAGGCAATAGCAGCGACGCGACGTCGCACAGTGCAGCCATTGTTCTGATTTACAATAGAAACAACAATTATAAAATACATATTTGTGTAGGTTAATAGAGACTAAACAATTGAAAATATTGTCCTTTTAAAATACATTTGATCTTATGCTCTCCCGTAAGATGAGTGAAAATATGCCAGGCATTGTTTTGTTGTTATATTATTGTACGTTGAACAACCTTAACAGTTCAACCTTACGTTGAACAGCCTGTTGTTATTTTTTAATTTTAGGTCAAATTTCATCAGTCTAAATCATGCTCAATTTCATATCTTATCTTATATATATATTTGTTTTTTTTTTTACTACTTGCTCTGTATTAAATCTTTGATTTTCGCACAATGCTTCTGACTGAAGTCGTTGGACCACAGTGCAATGTCAGCAGCAGCGCTTCGTTGTAAAACTTTAAAAATAAATGCAATAACAATACGAAAGCTAAGCGGCACAGCCAGCAACATCGACGTTGACGTTGACGTCGACGTCGACGTCGATAGCAGCATTTCCTTAATGGTCGGTCGTCGACGCCTCTGCTCCCACGGCACGGAGCAGCTGTTTCTGTTCCAAGCGTAACTTGAGCTGCTGCCTGTCCAACATGAAAATCTTATAATAAATTATGTCCAAATGACCAAAAGAATGAAAGCGAAGGGCCAAGCGAAAAAAGGAGGAACTGTATTCAATGGATGACACCAAAGTGATAGCGAGTGGAAGGCGTAAACTCAAATAGTTATAGGCTATTATTAGCATTAGTTATGACTGCTTATGGAATGAATAGTGCCACACACAGTTTCATATACAAACAAATAAACTTGATTTCGTTCGCTGTTAAAGTTTTCCACAGTTTTAGACATTGAAATGCCAAATATCCTAATTCTAATGTCGAGCCTGCGTGAATCACGATAAGAGTGTAGTCAACAAGATGAGACACTGTCTGCTCTGACGAGCAAGCCCTTATTTTCCTGAAAATTCTTAATACCTATTCAAAATACATATGTTTCTTATTTAATCCAGCCGCTTGTAAGTCCGCTACCCTTTTTAGAGCGCCACATACAAGTCAAAACTTTGCAAGTCGGGAAAAACAACTGAGCCTCTTTCAAGTCCCTATAGGCTTGATTGGTTATATGCTATATATAATGTAGAATCAGCAGAGCTTCCTTTTCAATAAGCCAGTCGTCCTATTAACTCGAAAATACTATTCAGAAAGGAACAGCTGAGAGAGTGAAATTTGTGCCACTCTCATCTTTAAGTTTGTTCCTGGTACTCAACTTTACTGAAAAATCAAGCATGACAAATTAAATTTTTCCAATTTACGTTAATAATAACTGATGCATATATGTACATATATACACTATGCGAAACTCGATCAAAGACACTTGGTTTGCCCCCTTATAAAATTTAAAACACAATTTTTAAAATGTTTTTGTTCCACAATAGTTAGCAATTATGAATACATGTCAAATAAAAATGAAATGAAATTGGGAACACTAACCTAAAACTTTTTATTCAAATATTTTAAAAAAAGTGAGGTTAGGGTGCGAAATTCGATTAAAGGCACTCCTATTAAAATTAAAATAATATATACAAATGGCATACAAATACAAAACTAATAATATGTCCTGCTTCCAGATTTATTTATAACTTAAAAAATTCGATTTGGCATTTATTCAACAACTTTTCGAACTCACCATTCCTTAACGACAGAAAGCTGCTCAACTGTCTCAAACTGTGTTTCCTCACATGTTTCCTATGGGATTCAGGCCGGATGATCTTGTTGGTCACTGTAAAAACTTAAAATTCTTATCCCGAAAATACCCACGACAGGCTCGCAACATATGTTTTGGAGCATTATCCTGTTGGAATAAGGTATTTGGGTCTGGTTTTGAACTTGATAAAATTTGTTGAACACGATGTCTCGATACTTGTAACCTTAAACCAAATAGGATTTTAGATGCCGTAGCATTTTTATCTAGTCCAGTCCATAGATTGCAGATTTCTGCCTGTGTAATAATTTTTTAAAGTTGGTTTTTTGCATTGATAGTTGTTGTTTTTTTTAATTTTAACATGTTGTCAATTGCTAATGCCGTTCGACTTAATCTAATTGATATTTGCCTGTTGTTCATTTCAGTATCCTTGTAAACAAGGATCTTAGCTATCTCCTCAGGCTTGAGTGTTTTTTCCTTTCCATTCCAAATTATTTTATGCAACTAATCGGTTTCTATATATAAAATATTAAATAAATATGAATATTTAACCATCCCATTCAAAGAAAACCCATTTATCGTCCTTACTTTTCCAAAGGATTAAAAGTGACTACCTTTATTCGAATTTCGCACCTTATCTAGCCTTAAAAAGGAAATAGCCCAAACATCTTGGACTAGTGCAAAAAGAAGAAGAATCGTTATAAAATTACTTGAACAAGGTCCCGTTATGCTTGGTACAGTTTTAAGCACCATAAACACGAGTACCTTCAGTCGAACTTCGCAGAATGCATTTGTTATAGCTGCAGCCTTTAAGCTGAGTTTCAACTCGGCTCTGCTTCGTCATCGATGTTCTCGCTTTTGGCGCATAACGGTAACGGTTAAAAATTGTTTGCCTGCGATTTTAAAAAGTTGTCCCTTAAATCAATGCCAGCAGTGCAGTCGCTGCCACTGCCACAGTCGCTGCCGCAATCGCTGCCGCAATCGCTGTCGCAGTCGCAGTCGCTGCCCGCATCGCGTGCTGCGTCTGGGGAATTCTGGGGTATAAATATAAGAAGCTGCACTGTTATTGTTCACAGCACAACAACGCTTGCTCACAACAGGCAGAGAGTGAATCAGAGAGAAAGAGAGAGACAGAGAGAAAGAGAAAGAGACAACAAACAAAAGTACAATCCCAAGATCGAAGCGGAGTCCCCAACGCAATTTTAGTGCAGAAATGAAATCATCCATGTGGCGGAAAGGCGCTCAGCCGTTGTCACTAATCCTTTTGCTGGTTGTGATTTGTGCACGGGCAGCGCCATTGGAGGAGCAGCAGACACGGGCGCAGGAGCACGAGCATGACAAGGACCTGACCACCATTAAAACGACGCTTGAGGAGAAGCAGCCACAGTCTCAGGACCACATTGACTGCAAATTGACTTTCGATGCGACAATGGACTCGTTAGACGACCAGCAACTGCAGGCGTTGCAGCTGCAGGACAATGGCTGCAACGTGCTGCGCACAGGCAGCAGCAGCAGTAGCCCTAATAAGCCAGCGGATACCGACAAGCCGGTCAGCGTCGTGCGACAGTCAAGCCCTGGCAACAGCAGCAGTCAGCCCCTTTATGAATTACAATTGGTTGTTTGGCCCTCTGATGTCGAGGATGGCGATGATTTTCTGCCAACGGCAGCGACCACACCGCCCAAGTCAACAACAACACGCAGGACAACAAAAATTCCTGTGACTACAAAATCAACAACAAGGGCAACAAGAAGGCCGGCAGGAAGGCCAACAAGAAGGCCAACAACAAAGTCACCGTCACCATTGCCTTCATACGAGGATCAATTGGCCGTATTTCCGCAAATGGATGTTGAAGAGGAAAATTTTGATTATGTGTTTGGTGAGTTGCAGCCAGTGGCGAGCACACAACGACCGTGGGCATCATCTACCACGCCAAAACCCACATACACATCGTCCTGGGAGCCAGCGGAAAAAGTCTATATATTGGAAAATTATCACATTAAATACGGCAACGGCAAGGAGGAGTACAAGTAAGTTCGTCCACAGACCTTAACTATTTACCCAATCCATTTCACTCTTCCCACCCATTTCAGATTGGTACTCAGCAATGGGCTGGTCAACTACATGAAGCTGTACGTGAAGCGTGTGGGCAAGGACTTGATCAATGTACAGGAGGGCTACTATTCGGTGCCAGTGGATGGAAAGAAGTCAAAGATTCGCATCATTCACTACATAGCCGATGAGCATGGCTATAAAGTGTACAAGAGTGAGTTTCCAGTTCCAACTTAAATTATCATCTTCATTACCATTGCTTATACATACGAACCCATTCCCAAACAGTGGAGGACGGCGCGCTGAAGAAGGTGTTGCCCACCCGTGGGCCTGTTAAGGCCACAGAATCACCCGAGTCAATGCCAGTCGTATGAGAATGGAGAAATCATGGCATTGTGCACACACTGAGACCCATCGTAAAACAATTTTTTTCCAACATATTTTTTTTTTGAATACTAAATAATGTAGTCTGTCGTAATATTTATTAATAAAATGCATGAAAAATTTAAGCTCCAGAGTATTTTTATTTGATATAAGTTAATTTAATATATAACCAACACATCGTGCCAGTTGTCAGAAATGATATACCGCTTGAACCACTGTGCATGGCCTCAATCTTAGTTCCGGTTTGACTTTGGCTTAGAGGCCAGCAAAGAAGCCAAATAAAATGTAATGCCCGCAAAATGATTTGCACATTTTCTGTTGTTTTTCTGGCTTCGTCTTCGGATTGTGCTTTGGTTTGTCTCTCAATCGTACGCTCCTTGATTGCTTTCCTAGTTTTGTATCCTTGTTTTAGTTGTTGTTGTTTTTGTTGCTGCTGTTGTTGCTGTTGTTGCTCCCTATCGTCGCATTTGGCGCCCCAGTCAATGCTGATGATGCCATTTAGATGCATATCGAAGTGTTTCACTTTTGGCCAATCCTTTTGCAATTTTTGCATATGTATGGCAGTATGTATATATATATATTTATTTATTTATTCATTTTTTTGTGATTTCAGTATTTTTTTCTGGCAGTATTTCCTTAGGATTTGCTGTTGTCTCCTTCGATTGTAGTTTATTGCTTCTAGCTTTTTCAGCCGACTGCCGACTGCCACTGCCGAACACTGTGGCACATTCCCACTCGGGGAGTAAGTTTTTGGGTCTTTTGGTCTTTGGTTGTTTACTTCGTAGCCAAAAAGTTTCATTGTTCGCCAGCCTGTGGCAGCTGGCACCAATCGAAAGTTTCGTCCCGTGTTATACTTATTATTATTTAAGGCAATTGTGTTGCTAGATAACGCTTAGAAAATATTCATATTGCCTAGTTAAAGTGTTTTTTGTTTTTCGCCGGAATTGTCGTTAAAGTTAAGCATGCACATTCAAGTTTATCAAGACAAAATCAAAACAGGATGTGTATATGAGCTACTGCCTTCTCTTGCTCAACAGCCAGTCTTAAGTCGCAAGTATTAAGATGACGTATGAAATTGATAGCTTGAATATGTATCGAACTAAGTATTTTTGTATAAACTTGATATCTTATAATTTCGCAAATGTAAATTAATATAGTTGCTACCATTGTCATTATGTCATCGTTTTTATTATTTATTTAGTGTTGATTCTTATATCGCAGCTTGGAAGAATCTATCTATTTTATTTATTTAGGTATTACAGATTAGTTAAGGCAAGATGACATTGAGTAAATTGTATAATCTGTATTTTAGACTTTTTTTCTTTTCAATTTAAAATATACACATATGTTTTGCCCAGAAGTCGACAGCAATGAATTTAAAATAAAATCTTAATTTTCGGTACATATGTAATTATTTATTCTATCATGAAAATGCCATAAAAATCGGTTGATAAAAACGGAATATAAATATTCCTCTATGATTATGTGTATTCGTCCACCCAAATATGCACACACATACGCATTGGTGGCAAAAATGTAACCGCAAACAACTGTGAAAATATATTTACATGTTACACGTTGCGAGTGCGTCTATAAATTTTTAACGAAAATCCACTAAGAGCTTTACCAACCGTTGCACGGGTCTATGGTGAACTCAACCCAGACGCGCTCCATTTTGTTTGTTTTTTGGTTAACTTTAACAGGGGAGGGGTCGGGTGGCGTGAGAGGTGCATTGGTCGGTTGGTAAATGTTGCGAAATCCGTAAAGCGTAAGGCAATTTTTGTAAAATGAACATAAAGCTATTTGTTAATTCAATGCATTTATTTGGCGTGCACAGACTCAACTCACAGTGCAGTCTGGTCCTTTTGTGACAGACATGCCACACCGAACATTGGCTGGCAATGCATGTGTGCATGTATAGGTGTGTGTGTGTGTGTGTGAGTGTGTGAGTGAGAGAGATAGAGTATGCTAAATATACACAGTGATAAACACATTACAAGATATTTTGCATATTTTATATGCCCAACCCAACTCAACCGAACTGAGCTGAACATAGCACACAGATACACACGTGATACACAGATACACAGATACATTCACATGTCGCTGCTGGTGGCGGGCCATGTAAAAATCTGTTCTTTTTTTTTTTTGATGATTAATCACTTCGTGGCGCGAAAAAACATAATACCGCTGGTGAATTTTAATATTTAAGCAATTTAATTTTGGCACCATTTAAAATAAACGTCAGTGGGTGGGATGTTGGTCAATGATCATATTGCTCTCATTTAAATAAACACGAGCAAGTGTGTGTGTAACAAGGCCTTGTTGAATAAACAGCAACGCATATGTATATATATTTTGGAAATTGTATAAAATACATATACTTGAGTTCATTTATAAATTGTATAATAATTTTGGTTTTAGCAAGAATTATCTTTGTCTAAACCAAATTTTAACAAACATTTTATTGGAACATTCTTTGACAGCATTTACTTTAATAGAATTGGCACCATTTATAAAAATGCATATTTGGTATCCGTAGCCTAGAAAGTTAATTAAATTAATTTTAGAATTTTAGAAACAGTGGTTTTAAAACTAACTAATTGCTTATCATATCGATCTCTGAAAATTTGGTATAAATTAAATATTGATGTTGAATTGTGAACGTACAGAATGATGTAGTTTCGATCGCATAGGGGATATATATATATATATATGTATATTTATATATATATATATTCTTGATCAGCATCAGCCTAGTCCATCTAGCCATGCCCGTCCGTCTGTCTGTCTGTATCAATTAGTTGGAGTCTATATAAAGTTAATAGTCTTTGGTTCAGGGTATATCCTAGTCGAGCTCTCTCGACTACAGCATTCTAAATTGTGAAAATTGTAGAAATTGAATTCATCATATGGTGCTCAAATGGTTTAATGCCATTTATAAAGTTTTATCATCGCTATTAAAGAAACATGATTCATCGAGCGATTAAATATAATCGTTGTGTGCTCTTTAAAGCTGTATGTTTGTAATTGATTCTAGCCGGGACTTAAGGGGAGCAGCTCGGCCTTTCTCTTCTTTCATTACCAGCATTTTTTGTTTTGCTACTTTTTTGGTGCAAACAAATTCAGGTCGCTCGCAGCTTTTTAGCTGTCGTTGCCTTTAAGCTTTGATAGCCAAAGTATTTTCCTGTTGCTGTTGAAAATATGTACTATTTTTATTTTATTTTTTTCTTTGCCCATTCGTTTCACATTACTTTGTGCTGATGGTTTCAACGGATCGCTGCTTGCAACGTGCAAGTTGCAACTTGGCGTGCTCGGCACGCGCTCACTAATTTTATTCCTTAATAAAAACCAAGGCAACAAGGATGAAGGAGTTAGTGCACTTTGCCGCCCGCTAGGAGCCCAGCTTGCCAAGGCCTCCGAGAACACTTGGCCATCCGTTTGCCCCGAATCGGACCTCTTCCTGGTCCCGTCGGCATTGTTTGCCTTGTTGGGTGCCATCAGAATGGCAAAGTTCATTAAAGTGATAATTACAAGGGTCGTAAAAAGCAAGCATAAGCTGAAAATACGAAACGAGTTCGGCCCTGATGTATGGGCCCGGTCAGCAGCGTAAGATTGCATTTCTAATAAACATTTTATATTGCATTTATATCGCATGTTAAAATAAACACACGTGTTAACTCAACTAGTGGTACTGATGGAGAATTAAATAAATCCACTTTATGCGACAATAATATCATACTCTGCAATATATAATAAACTATTTTTGTGAACTTTTTTTTAAAAGCTATTTATATACATTCCTGAAAGTATGCAATGTAAAAACTCAATAAACTTAGACATCCACCAATTGGCACACTTAAAATCCAAGAGCCATTTTAAAGGCAAACATTTTGGGGTTAATTATAGTAGGAAGCATATTAGGAACGGGTTCAGTATATGTTCTGAGTTGCTTGGAAAAATATACGATTACAACCGCATATGTACACCTCATTCAAGTTCTTAGTCTTTAGTAATATTAACTAATTCACAACTGGCTTAAGCTCAGACTTTAAAAAATGACTGTCTAACTGCAATCGATAAAATTAAAAATAAAACAAAAATTGATAAGATCGATAAAGCCACATATCTCCAAAAATTTTAGGACAACGGTCTTCAAAATTGGTTGATAGATTGTTGCCGATATTCTGCAAACATCGGCAGAAGTTGAGTGTTAGTTAAAATAATTAAATAATGAGTGTCGCTTGCCGATTATTACGTAAGTTCTAAAAATAAATTTATTTTTGCAATTTAAAGCCGACCTTTTATTATTCTAACGAAATTATAAAGTTATTGAAATTACTTATGCATATCGGGCTATTTACCTACACTTGCGGTCAGAATGTTTTATTTTGAACCGGCATCAGAATTAGGAATTAAAATAATATGATACAACTGAAATAATATAATAGTAAAAAATGTACGATTTTCTTTATAAAACTTTTATAATAAGTCGATTATTCTTTGTGACTGTTTATCATGTGGTTTCACAAAATGTAGTTTACTGATGTTCAAAAGTTTGTTACTAGCTAGTTGTCATAAAAAGCGACTTTATCGTACTGTGGGTTGTGGCTTCCATTTTATTATTATTTCTTTTTTTTTTTTAGTAATGCAATAAAAAGAACATCGATAATTCTTTGTTGGTCTAGGTTTTTCTAATGCGGTTTTCAATGTGAATATTATTCGCCATTAGAGAATCTGTATGGTTTATCTTGTGACTAAATTCTGTGGTTTTCACTTTGTGTGAAAGTATCAAGAATACATTCAAAAACTTTCTATAGATGGTATTGTTGTTGAGTAGAATATCGTTTCATTAAATTGTGTTCCCCAAATACCAGTCAATTTGATTGAAATTAAGCAACATTTAAATTTTAAATGAAATAAAATGTTAGAGAAAAAACCATTTAGTGATTATTTAAATATATATATGAACTCCATATATATTTACATTGTTTTATTACTGTTAAATCCATTTGTTGTACTAAGATTGTGAGCGCTGAAACAATTAAATTTATTACACAGTGTGCATAGCTCACGTAAAATAAT